GGATGGTCATGCTGCAATCCCTTCTCCTCCATTCTTCTTTCTGGATCTTGGGCACACATGCACACACACCCAACATGAGTTTAAGCCACCAGGCCCGGGACTCGAACCGTGGTCGACTACGTGGGAGTCCAGCAACATAGCCATTACACTAACTGCTGGTCCCTATATGTATATATTTCTAAGATATTTGTGTTTTTTATACATTTCAGAGTACTCTCAATTTATAAATTTTATTAGTTCTTTGTTTCATGGATATTGCAAATATAATGCTCTTTTTGCCATATAGAGGTTTTAAATTTATGCATGGTCAAATTTTTTTTTTCTATAACATTTTGGTATCTAGAGTTTTTGTCCTGTCTTGAGCTGTCGATAGGTTCATGTACCTACTATCTGAATAGGATCCTATCTGTTTCCTGGCTTTAAGTTTTAAGCAAAGTTCCTTACCATTTCAAAACTGCTTTTCTTGAAATTACCAGCTGAACTTGCTATTGAAAGTAGTCAGATTATTTAAGAAATTGTGTGATCAATAAAATGTGGGGGGAAAAGGAATGGAAATCAACTGTAGATACCAGAGATAGTGTGAGAAGAGAGTGGGAAAGGGCAGAGGGTCAGATATAGGGGTTATATATATATATATATATACACACACACACACACACACACACATGAAACTAGAAATGGAAAATTATTGACGATAACATGTATGATTAAGCCACCATGTAGTATATTCTGGATGGGAAACCACATTTTGTATGTTGTGATGATGCTTAGGGGATGAATGTAAATTAACTAATTAAAAAAAAGTTTCAGGAGAAAAAAAAAGATTTTGTTGTGTAGCTTGAAGACTATGCCTAGAAAGAACATTTTTACATTTGAAAGGACAAATTCATTGATTAAAATCACACCTTTGCTACATATTCAGTATCCTTACAGTCTTGGGCGTATTGTTGGATTCATTCCCCAACACTGTGATTTTTCTGTTTTTGTTTCATTGTTGTTTTGTCAGAGGGCACATATGCTTGCCAGAGAGAGAAAGAGGGACAGGAGAGGAAAAGGAAGAATGCACACTCCTATGCGGTATGGTATGCCACAAGTCCTTCTCCATTTCTCCATCCTGT